AAGAGGTTAACAAAAATTTTCATATCTCTCCTCAGGATCATTGCTTAAATTTATAACAAAACAGACAGATAAAGTGCCCCTACCAAATGCTGATGATGAAAACCGTAAGTCCAGTGTTCCACTTGAATTTTTAACTGTAACTGTTTAATTGCTAATTGTAAAGATTATTTATGGCACAATTTTTTTTTGTCATATTATAGTTCCAGCAACATCCACCTCCAGTGGGATAGTGGCCACTCAACCTGTTGGTTGTCATGAAGAGCAGGAAGAGACACCAGAGGCACATCAAGCATCCATTCCATGTTATGACACTGATAACTGTGAGTTCAATACATTTTACTTCAGTCGATTAACATGTGACATGCTCTGAAAAGATTATTTAGGATAATATACCCTGTTGTTTTTTGTCATATCAGTTCCAGCAACATCCACCTCCAGTGGGATAGTGGCCACTCACCCTGTTGGTTGTCATGATGAGCAGGAAGAGACAACAGAGGCACATCGAGCACCCATTCCATGTTATGACACTGATAACTGTGAGTTTAATAATTCAATACATTTTACTTTAATTGATAACATATAGCATGCCCTGTAAATTCTTTATGACAATGTATACCCTGTTTTTGTTTTTTTTATCAGTTCCGGCAACGTCCACCACCAACAGGACAGGAATTCCTACCCCTCATCATGACACGTCAGCTGCTACTACAAACAGGTTTCAATACATCAGAAGATCCTGCAGAATGGCCAAGTGTTCTTAGCCATACTGAAGTGTGTGCATTAGTCACAAAAGGGCCTATACAGATCAAAGATGTAGTATTCCCACAGAATTCTGAGAAAAATCCACGTAGATTCACAAAGGAAAACTACCAAATGGTAATGAAAAATGGGGAGAAGATACATCGAACATGGCTTCTTTATTCAGTTAGCAAAGACTCTGTATTCTGTTTTGCGTGCAAACTTTTTGGTAAACAAGACAAAGCACTTACAGTAGGAGGTTTTAGAAATTGGAGGAATCTGGCTGGACATCTAAAGGAACATGAATATTCCAAAACACACATTACCTGTATGACAAGTTGGCATCAACTCCAGATGAGGCTCAAAACTAAAACAGCCATTGATCAGATTAACCAGGATTTAATGCACCTTGAGATGCATCACTGGAGAGGAGTCATACGCAGAGTGATCGCCATAATATGCCACCTAGCTGAAAGGAACCTCGCTTTGAGA